AGAGAGAGAGAGAGAGAGAGAGAGATGAATTAATCTCAAAATAATTAAGAAGCAAATTAGTAAAATAAGGAAAAATTAATTAAATCCTTACAAAAATGCACAATTTATTAGTAATATAATGTCTTCAAAATGTTGGGAAAATTATCATTATAAATAGTTCATTATTTATTAATTAACTAATAATTAATTAACAAATATTAATAAAAGTCCAAAATACAATGTATTGAATTGGTATTATTCTTCGCCTAAATTAAAGAATTTTTCGCTTCAAATAGTGTCCACTTCTTGCCACCCATTTATCCATATCTTCTTTGGGAAAGATATTGATTTCAGCAAAATATGGTAATTCAGTGGTCAGTGTTCGCAGCCATCGGCCGAGGTTTGGATAATCGGTCAGATCGTAGTTAACCATCAGTAACATAGAGCTCGTGACCAACACAGCGATATCGGCGATCGTCAGGTGATCGCCCACCAGATACTTGTTGTCACCAATCAGTTGATCCAATTGTTTCAGAAGATTCTTGTATGCAATTACCTTCTCTTCTGGTGGATCGACGCCACCAAACGCTTTCATCATCTAATTTTGTGTCAATAACACTTTTATAAGACTTTATAACAATGATAAATGCTATGAGAAAAAGACATACAATTCCGTATTTGGCGGACTCGACAAAACTCATATCGAAATTAAGCCAACGATCGACGAGAGCCCGCTTTTTGGGCTCTTTCGGGTAGAGAGTGCTGTCGGGCGCGTATCGGTTGCACAGGTATTGCATTATAGCTCTGCTCTCCCATAGTATGAATCCATTGTCGTTAAGGGTCGGGAGGCTGTGAACCGGATTCATCTGTCATACAAATGGTATTTATGTTAAAATATGTATAATTTTATAAATAGACAAATAATAAAAAGTGCATTTTAAAAATATGATGTCAACTACAGTAGAATCCTTGATGTTTTTGTTAATATATTCAACTATAGTTATGTAATATATAATAATATATTAACATAAATAATTATATATGTTATATAATTATTTTTTAATTGTTACACCAATTATAAACAAATTATTAATTTTCATAGATAGGACTGAAAATTACTTTTAAATATTAAAATAAATATATTGCAAATGATTTTCAATGATGTATTATAAAAGCAAAAGCTAAAATCGTTTAAATACTACAATACCTTAATATACTCTGGTGTTAGTGTTTGGTCGGCTCCGGGATCCGTTTCGATGACATTCAAATCAATGTTCAGTTCCCGGGCTGTCATCAGAACTGTCCGACAGAATGGACTGAATTTGAAAGAATAGATATCGACAGACATTTCCAATCAATTTGTGGACAAATATTTCACTTTTTAGTCAAAAACTAAACATAAATTGTGTGGAATTCAGTAGTGAAGTGCCAATGAATGCAAACATGCGCTTATATAACAGGCTATCGTTCAATACTATGGAAATAAAGTAAAATTTTCAAGGTCTTTTTATTTAATATACCGCATACTGTATATTGTATTAGTTTTAGTGCAAACTATGACAGACTGTAGGCAATTACACTTGTTTTAGAGGCGTATCATTTTATTTGACAGTATATTCACAACATTTATCATAGAGAATACCATTTCCAATTGGGAGAGTCCAACAAAGATACAAATGGACTTGCTATTTTTATGATAAACTATTATTTTTAGGCTAGGAGATATACTGTACAAAAAGGTAAATTGTAAATGCTATTGAATAACATATTTGAGTTATGTAACATTTTTTAAAAACGGAATAAAAATTAAACATTTGTTGAATTTTAAGACAAATTAAAATTTTAATATTTTTATGCATAGAAAGTGTTGTTGTGATTAAATTATTTAGACTAGTTTATAGTCTTCGCTTATTTAACTTATTTATATAGTAATTTTAAATTAATAAATTACTAATTTATTGAGTGCCTATTATACATGTAATTTAATTTGTGATCATTATTTATTAATAATATCAAAATTCAATTTTAAAATTGTATGTAAAACCTTATTGAAAATATATTTTAAAAACTATTTTTAATTAAAAAATAAATTTAAAGAATTAAAATTGATTTGAGATACTTGTATAATAACTAGTTGGTATAAATATTTATAATTGTAAATATAAATGGAGACATAAACATATTGAAAATAGACAATTAAAATTATTATGCTAATAATTGAAAACATAATTATGGTATACATAAATGATTAGTGATCATTGATGGGTAGCTTTAGCCTTGTAATTGGCGATTGCAGTCTTCCACTCCTCTTTGAAATCATTGATTTCCTGATAATACGGTAATTCACTCTTCAATGTGTTATACCATCGCTTATAATTGGGATAATCACTCAAATCAAAGTCATTCCAATCGGGATAACTGGTGGCCGCCAATAGTGACAGATCCGCAATTGTCATGTGCTCTCCAGTCAAGTAATGCTTGTCACCGATCAGTTGATCCAATAGTTTTAATTTAGTTTTCAACTTTTCCACTTTCTCGTCCGACATTACATTATTAGTCGTCTTTTAGCATAAATTATATGTATAAATATTTCGTAATTATTAATTATAATCTATATATGCTTTAAAATCAAATTAATTGATAGTATATTTACAAAAATATCGTAGAAAATGTCGGACAAACTCTGTTCAAAGTCGAGGGATCGGTCGACAAGGGCTCGCTTTTTAGGGTCTTTCGGGTAAAGAGTAGAGTCGGGCGCGTATTGATTGACCAGATATTGCATTATAGCTCGACTCTCCCAAAGTGCAAACCCGTTATCATTGATGGTTGGAATTTTATGAGCAGGGTTAATCTGTGTGTGATAAACAATATAATTCATTCACAACCGACAATTAATTTTTCAAAATAGGTATTTCACCTTGATATACTCAGGTTTCAAATGGTCACCGGTATTAATATGCATGCGTTTGAGATTGACATCGAGGTTCAATTGACGGACAGTCATCAATACGGCTCTGGAGGGCCCACTCATACGGCTATAATAGACATCAATTGGCATTTTTGTTTGGATTTACTTATATTTGGCTCAAAAACAGTTTGAAACAAGACTTCTAATAAATGAAAACTATTGAACAAATGAACAGTTTATATGGCGTTACATATCTGTAGAAACTGAAGGTCGTTTTACAATCTGTATTCTGTATATTAGGGTTGGGACAATAAGTTATATAAAATTTTTACAAAACGTTGTTTGAAATAAGAAAAACATTAGATATCGACGTTAAACATAGTTTATTTATTAAACAAGAAACATATTATGACATATATAATTCGATTTCGGTGTAAAAACACATTTATTAGTTATTAATCGGGAGTAAAAGTTTAAAAGTTATATTTGTAATAATATATATCTTAATGTAATAATTAAAAGTATTATGGTATAATTTAAAATATAAATATGGTAAACAATTACACCAATTATTTTTTAGCAGCGGCTGCAGCGGCCCTCGCCTTATACTTCTCGATCATAGCCTCGATGTCCTCTTTGGGGATACCATTGATGTCTTGGAAATACGGCAATTCATTCTTCAGTGTATTATACCATCGCTTATAATTGGGATAATCACTCAAATCAAATTGACTCCACTCGGTATAAGTGGTGACCNTATTATACCATCGCTTATAATTGGGATAATCACTCAAATCAAATTGACTCCACTCGGTATAAGTGGTGACCGCCAACAGTGACAGGTCCGCAATTGTCAGGTGCTCTCCAGTCAGGTATTGTTTGTCGCCAATCAGTTGATCCAATAGTTTTAGATTAGTCGTCAATTTATCCACCTTGTCTTGAGGCGGATCCACTCCAGTCATGGTCTTTGAAAACTATTGAATAAAATTATTAATTAATACAATTAATAATTAAATTAGTTTTAATATAATTACCAAAACTTCTCCGATATGATTGGTTAAGGTCTGGTCAAAGTCGAGCGATCGGTCGACAAGGGCTCGCTTTTTCGGGTCTTTCGGGTATAGAGTAGAGTCGGGCGCGTATTGATTGACTAGATATTGCATAATGGCTCGACTCTCCCACAGTCCAAATCCATTGTCGTCAATGCTGGGCACAGTGTGAGCAGGGTTGATCTGTATTTGCGTTAAGCAATACAAGTTATATTAGTACAAATATGATTTATTGTCAAAATAAAATGCACATACTTTGAGAAACTCAGGTTTGAGTTGATCGCCTTCACTCAGATCCATGTGCTTGAGGTTAGCGTCGAGGTTGAGATGACGGGCTGTCATCAGTACGGCTCGGGAGGGCCCACTCATACGGCTATAGTAAATATCAATCGGCATTTTTGCTGTGAATTTCTGATATTCCGCTCAAGAAATGGTTTAAAACAAGACTTTTCACGAATGAAAGCAACTGAACGAATGCTGTCTTTATATAGCTTTATATAATATGTGTGTAAGAATTGAAGGCCGTTTCACAACCGGTATAAACCTTTATACACAATGCATAGCATTTATAATATGATTGTTTTCTATGCGATATTCTGTTATGCTATATAACTAACGCTCCTTTTGCACTATTACTTTAGTGCAAATGTTTAGTGCAAATACACTAAACTTTCGATGAATCTAGATTTTTCTTAAAAATAATGTTTCCAATAGTGAGAGTCACTCTATTTGTTAGAATACTTTTATAAACTTACCAATATTTACATTATTTCATTATGTTTTGAAATATTTTGAAATCTAATATAAATTATTTCATAAATTTTGTTCTTAAATGTGACTTTTAATTAATTTATTACCGTAATATTCTGATTGATAATTTATATATCCCGTGAATGTACAGTATTAATGATTTATTTTTTTTGAATAGAAAAATTAATATTCTTATAAATGTATTCATTATGATTATGTTTTATTAAATGTTAGGATAGAAAACATAATGCCATTTATCAAAATTAATTATATTTTAGTGCAATATTAAAATAAATTTAGATAATAAATATAGTGATAATTATATCCATAATATAAAATTATTTAATGCACTGATATTAATTATTTTGTTGTCTGAGTGGGTCGGCTCTTAAATTTACTTATAAACTGATCAAGCTCATCTTTGGACACACCATTGATATCGTGAAAATAGGATAATTGAGTCTTCAATGATGAGTACCAGCGCTGATAATTGGGGTAAAGAGTTGTGTCGTATTGCGACCACTCTATGAACACTCCCGACGCCAGTAGTGAGAGGTCTGCGATTGTCAACTCATTTCCCGTCACGTATTTATTATCGCCGATCAATTGGTCAACAATTTTCAGATTGTTTTCATAAACTTTCACTTTGTCTTCGGATGCGTCCACACCTTTGAATAGTTTAGATCCCTTTTTATTTAATACAATAATAATATGTTATTATTTATAGAGATTATAAATTCTTGTTTTTTGATTAACAAATGATTACTAAAACTTGTTTTTGAGATAAACTAAAGCCAAAGTCAAAGTTTAGGAAACGGTCGACGAGTGCCCTCTGTTTTGGCTCTTTCGGGTAGAGAGTGCTGTCGGGCGCGTATCGGTTGCACAGGTATTGCATGATTGCTCTGCTCTCCCATAAGACAAAGCCATTGTCATTGATTGTGGGAATCGTATGGTTAGGGTTTAACTGAAAATTTAATATTTAAATCAATATTTTTAAAAATAGACACAAATATTAGTTACTTTGAGGAAAAAGGGCTCCAATTGTTGTTTAGCCGTCAAATCAATATGAATGAAGTTAACGGCTATATCGAGATGTCTTGCCGTCATGTGTACCGCACGGGACGGGACACTGAATTTGCTGCCATAAAAATCAATGGTCATATTTACTGATACACTATTTTTGTACAGTAATCTCTATTTTTACTATCAATACGAGTTTTGTGAGTAATTCTCTTTGAAAACAAAAACCTTAGGATTATTTTAACTGATAAAAGGCTTCAAGAGGTAAGTTAACAAACTATGACAATAGATTGAAATGACATTACATTTATATGGCATACATATTATCGGATTATTTATTCAGTTAAAAACAGTCATGATGTTTTACAGTAACAACAATTATAAATTAAAATAAGGTAATCGCATAATTTAAGTTTAATTATTAATTTCACATCAAAAGTGATCCAGTTGTAAACAACTTATACATTTTACAAATGTTATATAAAGTGACAAAAAGCGTATTAATGTTTTGTATCTGCGGCTAATCTGGCCCTCACTTTGTTAACCATTTGCTTCTTCTCTTCGTCGGCAAAGACATTGATTTCAGCAAAATATGGTAACTCTGTCTTCAGGTTAGAGTACCAGCGGTTATAGTTTGGGAACTCCTTTAAGTCATATTCAGCCCATTCTATATATATAGTGCCGGCGAGTAGTGAGAGGTCAGCAATGGTCAGCTCATTGCCTGTTAAGTACTTATTGTCACCAATTGTTTCGTCCAATACTTTTAATATGTCTTTAAATGCTTTCACTTTCTCTTCCAACGGCTCGATCCCAACGAACACTTTTGTAAACTATTTTCAATTTATAAGTCAATTAATATTTTATAATCATTTATAATAAATGCATTATTATTACGAAAACATCGCCTAAAGTGGTGGACAAATTCATATCATAATTAAGGGATCGGTCGACGAGTGCCCTCTGTTTGGGCTCTTTCGGGTAGAGAGTGCTGTCGGGCGCGTATCGGTTGCATAGATATTGCATTATAGCTCTGCTCTCCCATAATATAAAGCCGTTGTCAACAATAGTGGGAACCGTATGGACAGGATTTATCTTATAACAAATAAATTAATATTAGTAAACATTAAAAACATAATAAAACTCAATGCATACCTTAATAAAGTCTGGTTTCATGTGCTCGCCTTCACTCAAATCCATATATTTAACGTTGACATCAATGTTGAGCTGTCGGGCCGTCATATGTACGGCACGGGACGGACCGCTAAACCGACTGTAATATAAATCAATTGGCATTTCTCTCTGTTATTATCCGAAAACTGACAATAATATGGAGTTATTTGAAGTGATTTTTGTGATGAAATTAAAATGTTTAGTCTATCCGTTGATCATAACTACGAGTAGAGTAACTCATGTGAAGGCCATTTGTAAAAGTTTTATTTATTTAACTTAACTGTATTTACAACCAGTGAATGTTTCATATCGTGTATAAACGCTATGTTTGTTATTCACACCATATTTTTCGGTTTCAGAGCCATATATATCTAACATTGAATTTAATTGAATTCATTCATCACTTTATGCAAAAAAAACTGTTATTTTATAATAATTTTATTTTATGAACAGATACTGGGATTTAAGCTTATTTTATCGGATCTATAAAAAGTTAAAAACTTTTTCAATCACTTATAATTGAAAAATTCTTAACATTTTCAACTTGTAAAACTTTTTCAATTATAATCCCATCAATTCAAAGTCCATTATTATTTTACACACAAACATAATAATAAATTAAATGCAATAAATTAAAAGCCGAATTATAAATTGAGCTTATTTTATTAATTAATTTATCAGTTAATATAAGAATGATTTATAATTATGTTTTGTATAAATATAAAAAAGAGTGTAATTATAATAACATGTTATTGATTACAGTAAAGTATTAATTATATCAGTTATAAATTATAATTATAAAAGTAATAATGGTTATACAGTATTATAATTGTATATAAGCATATGATAATCCAGATATGTTAATCTCAATGCTAAGGACAATAGGGATTACTGTTGTGCCGCGCGTTTGGCCTTAATTTTAGCGACATATTCCTCGACGTCTGTCTTCATATCGAAACCATTGATTTCCTCGAAATAAGGCAATTGTGAGCTCAATGTTGTGAACCATCGCTCAATGTTTGGGTAATCTTTCAAATATTGCAATTTGTTGAGGAATACAGTGGTGGCCAACNTGTTTGGGTAATCTTTCAAATATTGCAATTTGTTGAGGAATACAGTGGTGGCCAACACTGACAGGTCAGCGATGGTTAGGCTATCGCCGACCAAATACTTGCCGTCGCCGCCCACCTGTGTATCCATGAGTTTCAGATTGTTTTTAAACGCATTCACTTTGTCTTCGGGCGCTTCCACTCCCATAAACATTTTGGGAAACTTATTGATAGGAAAAATGCATTCAAATTAGTTTTCTTATTGTACAGTATATTAAAATATCTCCGATCTATTCAATCGTATCAATCAATTACCAGAGCCTCGCGTTGTGACTGATTTAAAGTCATATCAAAGTTAAGCCAACGGTCGACGAGTGCCCTCTTCTTGGGCTCCGGCGGGTATAGAGTGCTGTCCGGCGCGTATTGGTTGCACAGGTATTGCATAATTGCCCGGCTTTCCCATAGTATAAATCCATCATCATCAATGGTGGGCACCGTATGCGTTGGATTCATCTAGGTGTTTATTTAATATTAGTTTATTACTTGTGTATAATAATAGTAATTTAAAAATACTAATAGTTATTGTCAATAACTTATTTATACCTTTAGATATTCTGGAGTCATGTGTTGATCAGTAGCCAAGTCTACGGTCTTAACATTTAAATCAATGTTTAGTTCCCGTCCCGTCATCAGCACTGCCCGACACGGAGGCGACAAACGCATGGAATAGATGTCAACCGGCATTTCAATTGTGCAGATTTTACAAACAAATAGTGTTTAAGAAAAAAAATTTCACAAAAGTGTTGAGTCGTTTGCGTAACAACTGTTTAAATAGGAGTTTATCTCTGTTTGCAAATAATAGAGTACATTATATTTGATGTGTTTTATTGCATGAATTTTGAGATGAGTATGGGTTGGAAAAATAAGTCAATTATTCTGTCCTATTCTATACGTGCGAAATATATAATAACGAAGTATTGAATTTTTAATTTATTGTTATCTTTATTTAAATGTAATTATTATAAACTATTTTAAATATTAGTAAATTAATAGTTATAATTTAATTTTATTAACAATAAACTAAAACAAATATATAAAATGTACAATACAATTGATGATTTGTATTTCTACCATCCCATGAGATGATGAGTCCATTCTATGGAACATCTATTTGAAGGACAAATATATAATTGTTTTATTCCTTCGCCTAATTATTGTTGACTTCCCATTCATTTACGGCATTATTATCTCATGAGTCATGAAATCCCCGCCATTTGAAGGCCGTCTCCTCTTCTCTTACTTTTGAATTCATTTTAATTTAAATTGTATTCAATTTTCTCTCAATTCAGTACTCAATCAACAAAAGAAAAAAATTTTCTTTATGTTTAAAATAGAGAATAGTATTCAATGAATACTTGCATTAAGTTTAGTCCCCTTAATATCGATAAACTGTAATCTCATAAATAGTTCGTTCATTTGTTTACTTCAAGTGTTTGTCTTAATTAAAAACTATATTTACGTTTAAGAAATTATATAATATCATATATTTTAAAACAATTTATAAATATTTAAACATGTTATTTATAAAAATTCAAGAATTTTAAATGTTAAAATATTTAATGTATTTTATCTTTAAAAATGTATTCTTTTAACTATACTTATTATTACATTTGTAATGTTATAAAGGGTGTCCCAATGAATTTGAACTATTTGTACCATATAATAGCTTTTATTCTTTAAGCAATTTATTTATGATAATAAATATTTTTCTTGTTACTAAGTAATAGAAATATAATGGGACTAATT